AAAGAAAGAAAGAAAGAAAGAAAGAAAGAAAGAAAGAAAGAAAGAAATCAACGCTAGCAGAAAGCAAAGGAGAATACCAAATCCACATGCACAGCTATTATTACAACAAAAATTTCTTTTCAGTAGAGATAACAGTAGCCAACACTTATACCATCTCTCTATGCGCCAGGCACTCTTGCAAGCATTTTAATCTTCACGGCAACCCTTAGGTAGGTATTATTATTACTCCGATTCTATAAATGAGGAAACTGAGGTGCAGAAGGACTAATAACCTGTTGAGGTTGCCCAGAGCTATTAGCAGATCTGGGGTCGGCATTCTCACCGCCATCCTACTCTGGGCTCTCAAGACCTGGGCGCTTTTCCACTACGTACATTTAGTATTCTGGATTTTTAGTGTAATAAAGAATCTAGAGTATCTCTATCCGTTCCTTACAGAAAAAGTCAATACTTCGTATATTTAGCATAGGAAATTAATTTGGAATATTTTAGGATATGATTTGAAGCCATTTGACTCCGTGTGTATGTGTTTTAATACTCTTCCTAATATTTTTTAGGCCAGGAGTAGAATTACAGATAGGCCCAAAAGATCTATTCTTCATCATGATTCACCAGGTTACGATTTTTAGCTTTTAGCTACAAATAACGGAAAACCCAACTGGAACCGGATTAAATAATAAGGGCTTTTATTGCCCCACTAAGGGTGAATCCAGAGGTAATGTGCGTCCTCACTTGGCTTCGTGTCCAAGCATGCCCCAATGTCCGGCAAGGAGAATGAGATCCGCATGCTTTAGACCAATCACGATGCCCACCTGGCCCGAGACAGCCAGGTTGCCTTCCCTGAGTTCCCCAGCCAGCCTGGGCTGGCAGCAAGGAGGAAGTGGAGGGTTGACTGTGGCGGGCAAACTCCAAGTCCGCCCACGACGACGTGAAGCTAACTGGAGAATACAACTGAGAATCACTACCGAGAGGTAGAGTAATATTGTGACGGTCCATCTTTTGTTTTTGCAAGTGAGAGTCACAACTGTATTGGGATGTCCGGTATTTCCTTGTTTGTTTTTTTTTTTTTTTAAGGTTTTATTGAAATTCCAGTTAGTTAATATACAGTGTGATATTAGTTTCAGGGGGCATGATTCAGTGATTCAGCACTTCCATACAAGCCCCAGTGCTCATCATAGCAAGTCTATCCTCTTTTTTGGTCAAAATTGTTCACTTTTGTCTCAGGGCTGATTACTACTGGTAGTTGTCAACATGCCTACGGGTGATAGCTTTTTCTAAGCGTATTTACTTACTTTTTGAGAGAGACAGAGAGAGCAAGCAGGGGAGGGGCAGAGAGAGAGAGAGGGAGAAAGAGAATCCCAAGCAGGCTCCACGCTGTCAGCACAGAGACTGATGCGGGGCTCAGACTCACACACCACGAAGTCATGACCTCAGCCGAGACCAAGAGTCGGATGCCCGACAGACTGAGCCACGCAGGCGCCCCGGGGATAGCTTTGACCAGATGGGAAGGTGGGCGAGAAGGAGAGAGAGATGGCGTGGGATAGGAAAAGAGTATCAGCTTGTAGGATCAGAGCCCGGGTCTCTAATTAGTAACAGTTCTCCTCCTCTATACCAGGCTCTCACGGGAGCCTGTACATTCAGCGGTGGTGTTAGCCACTTTCACACACAGTAAAACCAAGTCTCAGCGACGTGCTGTCATGTGTATGAGGCCACATAAATAGAAACCCCCGGGAATACAGTCTGAATCCCTACAGTCTGACACTGGCTGAGCCCAGCCCAGGCCTCGTGCCTCAGCCTTTCCACGGGAAGGGGTCCAGAGGAGGGCTACCTGAACAACATTCCCCACACTAAAGCATGAGAACAAGAGTGATAATCTATCACATCTCATCTGTGTTCTGACCGCGGGCAAGTCGCTGTTTCTCCCCGGCTCACAGGTGCCTGACTTGTAAAATGAGGATGGGTAGGTCACTTCCAGCTCAAAACTCTGATTATAATTCGTCTTTAAACACAACAACCTGAATACAGCCTGCCAACCGGCCCTTTTCCATGTACCTCCTTATCTTTAAATATTAGTGCTGTTATCAAGATGATATTTGAAGCATCGCAGCATTGGATGCATAAGCATCCAGAGTGTTCCTGGAAATCCGAGAGAACTAGTTGTCCCCTTTTTTTAAATCTTTTTTTAAAATTAATGTATTTACTTTGAGAGAGAGGGAGAGCACAAGGAGGGGAGGGGAAGAGAGAAGGAGAGACAGAAACCCAAGCAGACTCGGGGCCATCAGCACGGGGCCTGATGATGTGGGACTTGAACTCAGGAACTGTGAGATCACGACCTGCGCCGAGATCAAGAGTCGGACGCTTAGCCGACTGAGCCAGCCAGATGCCCACAGTTGTCCCCTTAATGTGGCAGATTTGAAGCGCAGCTCTCCCAGCGCTGGGGCTAAGAGTATCTTTAGGTCTTTTCATATTCTGGGGATTTTTAAAAAAATTCCCTGACTTCTTGATGCTACCAGAAATAAGAACTCATCGATAATTCTACTCTCCTTCCACTCTGAAAACACAGTCTGATTTAGTGAACATCTTTCAAAGGTTGAAACAGTGCATCCTACACCATTCCTTAGCTCTAACCCCTTTGGAGTTTGCTTTGGTTTCATTTTTCTGATTTTTTTTCCTTTGGTGAAAGAAAAGCAAGAACTAGGGGCATTGGCCAAACAAGTCTGGCCACTCAGTGGAGAGGTTTCTAGATAAGAAGGATCTGAAGGACTTCCCATGGGCGTAAGGGAAATTGAGCACGCCATCCGGGGAAGAGGACCAGGAAATCGCTTCTTGTTTTTCAAACAGAAGCGAGTCTCTCAACGGATGGCTCTGTGAGGCTTGGAGGATCACTGCAGGGGAGGCACGGGAGAGGGGTGAGGCAGAGCTCGGCACGGAGGACTCACAATGAATCCTGCTTGGTTTTCCCTTCATCGGGTGTAGATTTCCTTGGAGAGCATGGGGCCAATGGCCTCATAGTGGAAACCTGGATGATTTTAGACATCTGATCAGAGCAGAAGCCAGCCTGGGGACTGCGGTGCTGAACAGGTAACAGGCATTCTACTGTGGTTTGTCTCCCTTTGTAGCAAGACCCTGGGGGGGCCTTGGTCCAGTTATGATCCTCTTTGCCTGACTTCCTTTTGTATAGCTGTCACATGTATGTTGCCAGCATAAAGCATATCTGCTCAAGAGCATTGTTCAGGCTGTTGGCCAAGTTGACGAGGCTGTGCTTAGGAAGACTGAGTGTCGGCAATTAGATGGCATCTTTTAAGGGTTTCCTCTATAATGAAGAGAGTTTTCCTTTTTTTTTTCTTTTTTCTTCTTTCTTTTTAAAATCAGTTTTCCCATCCCTGAGCCAGAAAATACCATAAAGACCAGAGCATGCATGAAGGCCGCCATGAACATTTCCATGGCCGGGCATCCATGTGCCGTTGTGCTGCCAAGAGGCTGTACTGTGTATAGGAGGGGGAGCACCAGCTAATCTCTCAGCTCCCAGGCAGTCCTTGGGGTAACGGGTGATCTCCAAATGTTAAACTGTCACCTCCCGCCCATGATGGAGAGGAAAGCGTTTACAGTCAGCGCTGGGAAGGAAGTCAAGAGAAGTGCTGAGTTTAAGAGCTGGGCAGACTTGGCCTTGAGCATTCTAGAAGGAGGAAAAGCTCTTTGATGTGTGGCTTGCTTAAACCATGTTTTCTTACGCTTTGCAGAGAGCCAGGCCCTGCCATTTCACCGCCACTCTGTTTTTCCTTCCATAAAGGGCTGATGTTTTTGGTCTTTCATTTCTGAATTATATAAGTAGCACATGAATATATTCCTCCTGTAATAGAATATTTCTAACACCCTCCAGTACCCACTATGTCTCTCTCCTCCCCCAAAGTATCCCATCAATAATTTGCTGTGTATCTTGCGAGTTGTTTTCTGTCTTCTCTGCTCTCAGGACAAGCCAAGGCACAGAGCGCAATAAATCCTCATTGCCAGATTCATTTGTCGATCTTTAACAAGACCTTTTCTCACTGAAAGATAAAATGATACCTGGAGGTGTCGACGGCTCTTTTGACTCTTAGAAAAAGTCCAAAAGAGTGTTTTTCATTTTTGCCATTATTACTTTTGCGTTGATTTTGGCTTTGGCCGTCACTATTAATAATGGCTTCCCATAGGCGGCTGGGTGGCTCAGTTGGTTAAGTGTCCGACCCTTGATTTCAGCTCAGATCTGGATTTCACGGTCGTGGGATTGACCCCCACACTGGGCTTCACACTGATTGTGGAGCCTGCTGGAGATTCTCTCTCCCTCTCTTTCTGCCCCTTTCCCCTGCTCATGTGTGCAATGCTCTCTCTCAAAATAAATAAATAAATAATTTTTTAAAAAGAAGAGCATCCCACAGATTAAACTCTGGATTTTCTGGAGGTTTGGCCTTCTTTCTTTGAAGGCCATCAAAGGCAGCCTTGTTTTAGAAATGAAAGGGGGAAGAAAAAGAAAGAAAAAAGAGGAAAAGAAAGGAAAGGAAGCAAAGGAAAGGAAGCAAAGGAAAATGAACTTGGATAGACAGATGAATGATTAGCTAGCCAGCTAACTAGCTAGAAGCTAGTTAGATTAAGTGGTTGGTTCAGGGAAGATAGGATGAGGGTAGGAGAGATTCCCTTTTTATTTAATGGATAATAGATTTTTAAAAAAACAGGTAAGTTCAGTTTCTACTTCTTTTGGCCCTCTGTGAAAAGGTAACCATCTATTTTTTCCCCCCTGCACGATGTCATGAGACAAGTGAATAACAAAAATTCCCTATGAACCCGTCGATATGGGTCATGGAGAGACCGTTTGGAAAGAAGTTACAATGTCAAACCCGAGAATAATTACCAAATACTTTCAGTTGCTATTTGGTATTTTCTTGGCCTTTCCAAAGTTTCCCTGTTCAAAACTAGAAGGCCATGTGGCCCTGCTGATTTTGGACACTCTGCCGTGCTCCTTCGGCTTGGATCCCTTCTCCTGGGCTAATCAGAGCAATCACGTCACCATGTCCCTATGCAGGGACTGCTGCTTCTTCCACCCCACCTCAGGGGAAACACATATCCTATCTCATTTTATGGAATACAAAAATGAAAGGTTCGGAGATTAAGCGGTTTGCCCAACATCACACAATGGATCTTTTTGGGGCACCAAGATAAGAAAAAAACCGAGGTCTCCGGCTTCCCAGCCCCTCTTGGGGTCAGTAAGGTGAGAAAAAAAGTCATGCAGAGGAGAGAATTAACGTGTGTGGCTGGATTCTGTCAGCTTCCTAGCAACATGGGTTCCCAGTTTTGCTGGGAATCTACAGACAGATCAAGCTATTGCCTGCGCCAGATTTTAGCAGATTCCAACACTTGTCCATTAGCATCACCGTCGAAACTTAACAAAAAGAAAACAATGCCCAGGTACTTCCCTGGAACAGCTAGATCAGAATCTCTGGGAAAGAGATCTGGGCAGGGCCTTTTTTTCTTTTCTTTCTTTCTTTCTTTCTTTCTTTCTTTCTTTCTCTTTCTTTACTTCTTCTTTCTTTCTTCTTTCTTTCTTTCTTTCTTTCTTTCTTTCTTTCTTTCTTTCTTTCTTTCTTTCTTCTCTCCGAAACGATTCTTTTATATAGCTAGGGTTGGGAACCATGGAGTCCCAACTGTAAGAGAGAAAGTTGCCAGATGGAGAAGCAGAGCCAACACCTGTTCATGTGGCCAAGCATTTGGGGCCGGAAGGGCCAGCAGCTGTGAGCACGTGAGCAATGTGCACTAGGATTCTGGCTGCTGCTGTCTGCCCGTGAGAGAAACGGACCCATCTCACACCCACGTGTGAGAATGCAGAGATTTCCAGTTCCCCCACTAAGGGCCCGGCCACACCCCTGACTTCACTGCAGATAGACTGGCTCCCTTGTTCCTTGCGAATTTTACGAACCCAGATTAAATGTTCGAGGTAAACAGGATGTGCTCTTCTGGTGCCAAATGATTATGGGGGTCATATATCTTATCCCACGGCACGTTGACGTGTGTGTCCCCATGTCCAGAAAAAAGGGAAGAAAGAAATACTACTTATCCTTTGCGTGATCTGCCGCTTTGTGGATTGAGCTAGGTATGGATAGACAATAAATCAGGGTTATTTTTTAATCATAAAATGTGCTCCTAGAACTATCCCCTCCAAGATCTCTCAATACAGTTCAAGCTAGAATCGCTCATGGCTGTCATGTGTGTGTGTGAATGGAGAGCGTTAGGAGGGGCTCTGCCAGCTTTACGTCAGAGTCCAGGGTGCCCCTGGGTTTCAGCACATAGTAAGTACCACCGGGCGGCTTGTTGACTGAAATGGATGCATTGGCTGTGGGTACACTATGAATTCACAAGTAATTTACCAACACAGCATTTCAGCCCACATGGTGTGATTCTAGTCATAAAGGTTCAATAACTGAAATCTTGCCTATTTCCTAAAAATAATCCCCAAAGTGAAACCTTTGAAGTCACAGTGTGGTGAAAGCGTCTGTGCTGCATAGACTTGCTAAGTGCTATGGGGTTACCCAGGCAGAGAATCCTTTCCTTTAATTACCGTAGATTCTTAATAGAGGGCCAAACACAGGCATTGAGGGTTTTAATAGTACCTGACAGGGGCACCTGGGTGGCGCAGTCGGTTAAGCGTCCGACTTCAGCCAGGTCACGATCTCGCGGTCCGGGAGTTCGAGCCCCGCGTCGGGCTCTGGGCTGATGGCTCAGAGTCTGGAGCCTGTTTCCGATTCTGTGTCTCCCTCTCTCTCTGCCCCTCCCCCGTTCATGCTCTGCCTCTCTCTGTCCCAAAAATAAATAAACGTTGAAAAAAAAAATTTTTTTTAATAAAAAAAAAAATAGTACCTGACAATATTTACTGAGTGTTTATTATGTGCCACTCGGCTCAGGGTTTTCCAAAGATTGTTAGCTCGTGTAGTTATTCCAATAATCTTATATGTCTGGTGCTTTTATAGTAGCCGTTCTACTGATGAAGAAACACACAGTTTTAAGTAAGTTGCCCGAGGCACACAAAGCCAGCAATGGATGAAGTCGGGACTCCAGCCCAGGCAGTCTGACTTATGAGTCATGCCTAATTACTATGCGATGCTGCAAACCTCACAGGGCACTGCAGAAAGGTCCACACGGCAGATACATGCAGTGTGTTCAGGAGAAAGATGCATCTCTGGAGGCGATAAGAAAAGAGGCAGGATGCTGTAAAGATTAAGAGCTCCAGCCTTGGCAACAGACTTGACTACTTTACCGTGTGACCGGGGTGTGTTATTTAATTTCCCCATGCCTCAGTTCCTTCGTCTATAAAATGGGGACGATGATAGTTCTACCAAGGTACGACCTAAGGATTAGATGAGCCTAGTTCATGCAGGGTGTTTAGTCTAATTCCTGGCATGTAGCCGAGTCTTGATAAATGATAGCAATTATTGCCATTACTAAGTGAATAGCGAGACCCCAAAAGACAGCTCAGGAAGGAGGAATGGGACATTTCAGCGGCCAGGAATGGTTTGAGAAGAAACTGAGAGGCAGCCATTCATTCAACCAAGACTTACTGTTAGTATTTATGACACATTTTGCCAAAGAAAGCACGGTGAAAACTTGGGAGCGGTCAGCCTATTTTGCAGGCAAGTTTTATGGAAGAAAACCATGGCAGAGCTGGGTTTATATTTAGGTTGTGTGTGCCAGGTGAAGTAGCCCAAATATTGCCTGGTCACTTGAGAACGTTTGAAGAATTTGAATGCGGTAGACAGCAAACTATGAGAAATCGCGTTCTAGGCAAATGAATCTGCCGATGGTGCGTTGGGTTATTGAGCAGGGCAGTGGGGGTGGGGTGGGGAGGAAGCCCATCCAGGAGATTGCTGCAATCATCCAGGTGCGAGGTGATCGTGTCCAAACCAGGGTGGCAGCCGAGGGAAAGAACACAGCAGCAGAGGCAGTGACAGGACTTGGTGGCTGGTCGCATTGTGGCTCCCTCTCCTGCCCTGGATTCTTGTGTGAGGAATACCCGTGCGGTGGTGAGCCTGGGGAACTGGACGATGAAGCCAGCTGTT